TATATAATGGTGGTAATGATATCATTTGTTGTAAATGTTTCTATATTTCTTGATGTTTCTATATTACCTGAGGCTATTTTTTTGGATGTTCTCAGTTGTATTTTTAGATGTTAAATATGTTAACTGTGCTAAAATTTCCTTTATCTGTTAAAAATGTCTATTAATTCTTTAAAAGTTTTTAAAACGGTTTGAAAAAATTGACTTTTTAGAAAAAATGTTTGTTGTTGTTCAGTCGCACAGTCGAGTCCAACTTTTCATGACCCCATGGACCACATCACACCAGGCCCTTCTGTCCTCTGGAGTTTGCTCAACTTCATGTTAATTTCATCAATAACACTGTCTAACCATCTCATCCTTTGCCGCCCCCTTCTTCTTTTACCTTCAATCTTTCCCAGCATCAGGGTCTTCTCCAGTGAGTACTTCATTCTCATTTGAGCTTCAACTTCAGTATCTGGCCTCCCAGGGAACAGTCAGGGTTGATTTCTTTTAGGATTGACTGATCTGATCTCCTTGCAGTCCAGGGGACTCTCAAGAGTCTTCTCCAGCACCATAATTCGAAAGCATCTATTCTTCGGCGGTCAGCCTTCCTTATGGTCCAATTCTTGCAGCCATACATGACTACTGGGAATACCATTGCTTTGACCATACGTACATTTGTTGGCAGGGTGATGTCTCTACTTTTTATTATGCTGTCTAGGTTTGCCATCGCTTTCCTCCCAAGGAGCAGGCATCTTTTAATTTCTAGGCTGCAGTCACCCTCTGCAGTGATCTTGGATCCCAGGAACATGAAGTCTGTCACTGCTTCCATGACTTCCCCTTCTATTTGCCAAGGAGTGATGGGGCTGGATGCCATGATCTTAGTTTTTTTGATGTTGAGTTTTAAGCCAACTTTTTTGATGTTGAGTTTCAAGCCAACTTTTATAAAATGTTTATAAGTGTTTAAAATGCTTAAAATCTTTAAAAATCATTATTTCTAGTTATATGTTTGTACATGCTTACAAACGATTGTTGATTGTTGTATTTAGAGTTCAACTGGTTATTGATTTTTCCAATGGTTTTGTCTCGTGAAAGGTTATTTATAATAAAACTCATTATTACCTAACTCTTACCCTAACCCCAACCCCAACCAAAACCCTAACCCATATCAGAGTCTTCAGCATAGTGTGCAATGGAATCCACAGTAAAGACCGCAGTCTGCAGTCTCCAGTCTGCGTTATTATCATAGAATCATAGAGTTGAATGGGACCTCCAGGGTCATCTAGTCCAACCCCCTGCACAATGCAGGACATTTGTGAATATCTCCCCTTCCACACCCGCAGTGACAGCTGTTCCACACCCAGAAGATTGCTTCCTGACCCCAAAGTGGCAATCAGCATTTCCCTGGATGTGTAAAAAAGAGCCACGAAAAGTAAGTACTGAGGCAACCCTTCCTGTTCTCCCTCTCATGATCTGCCTAAGTTCATGGAATCAGCATTGTTGCCAGATGGCCATCTACCCTCTTTTCTAAAACCTCCAAAGAAGGAGAGCCCACCACCTCCCGAGGAAGCCTGTTCCACCAAGGAACTGCTGTCAGGAAGTTGTTCCTAAAATTTAGCTGAAAACTCTTCTGATTTAATTTCAACCTGTTGGTTCTGGTCCGACCTTCTGGGGCAACAGAAAACAACTCCGCCCCGTCCTCTATATGACAGCCCTTCAAGGACTTCAAGATGAGTATCCCATCACCTCTCAATCGTTTCCTCTCCAACGCAGCTTTTCACATTGTTCCCCTTCTTCCCAGTTAACGGCCACTACAGCAGACTTGTATGGGTAGGTTAGGCTGAGAGATCACAAGCCCAAGGTCACCTGGCAGGCTTTGGGGAGGGGCTGTGGTTCAGTGGCAGAGCCTCTGCCTGGCTTGCAGAAGGTCCCAGCCTCAATCCCCGGCAGCATCTCCAGTTTAAAGAATTGGGCAAAGTCCGCAGAGGAATGTGCAGCACAGGGGAGTGCACAGGGGAGTCTGCAGCAGAGTGTGGTAATGTATTTCAATGGAGCCCATGCAAGTCAATTTTTTTGTGTCTCCCATTATTTACAATGGACCTTCAGCCACTCCCATTGTTTTCAATGGGCAATCCTGTCATTCCTTTTAGTACATCCCATAATGGAGCACCCAGCGGCCATTCCCCCCACTTTCTGATTGCCCTGAAGTGGGGTGAGGGACTCCAAACCAGGGGACCCCCATCTCCAACTGGGAATTGGTAACCATAGCTGCTGGTGGGCCTGGGAGGGAGATTCCCTGAGGTGGGTGGGGGAAAATATTGCTGGATCTCCTGGCTACGATACAAATTTCCAGATAAACATCATCATAATCAATTCTTTTTGTCTACTCTTTCGCCTTGTTTCCCTTCCCTGCATTCCAGTGAAACAGTTCTCCCCCCCACCCATCTCTTTCTTTGATGCAAAGGGTGGGAAATGTGCATAGAATGTATTCCCTTTCACATTGGATTTTTGTTTTGAAAGATCTTCCTCCATGCTCTGTGGCTCCTTGAGATTGAGTTGCTGCCTGGGGTTCCCTTTCTGCTCCTCTACAAAACCCCCCAATTCTTCTTGGGTTTCTTGGGTGAAAGCCTTGGGGTAGCCTCTTTCCTCTGCAGCTCAAACATCCAGCTCACCCCACCACTTTCTGTGGGTCTGTTGCCTGTCCTTTTCCAGGACCGCTGCCTGTGTGGGCTTCCCTTTCTGCTCCTCTACAAAACTCCCCCCACCTTCTCCTGGGTTTCTTGGGTAAAAGACTTGGAGTAGCTGCTTACCTCTGCAGCTCAAACACCCAGCTCACCCTACCACTTTCTGGGGTTCTTTCCCCCAAAGACTGCTGGCTTCCAGCCTGACATCATGAATGCACGTCTGGCCTCATTGAGGACATTGTTGCTGTAGATAAGCATTCCATCTCAATGGTGAGGCTTGGGAGTCTTTCCAACATAGAGTGAGTCTGGGTCATCGGGTGCCGGGTTCCTCCAGCAAGGAGACCCACACACCCCTACTCGGGATACTTCAAGGGAACAAAACATAATACTGAAAGTGTGAGAGCAATGTGGGGAAGAAGTGAGGAATTGTCTGACCTTCTTCATGCATAAGGGATAAGTGATACTAATTAATAGCTGTAGACCATTACACCATTGGAAAAGAGAAGGCATTATTCCAAGCAATCATATACTTGTTTTGTTGCCCAGTGCAGAGATCTTTACTGTGAACTGGAAGTCCCGAGTCACGAGTATCACAGCTGCCAGAAGTTACAGCTATTGTTGTTCCACTGGCACCTTCTATCACTGTTGGTGGGAATGCCCGATAATTCAACATTTTTGGCAAGCTGTCCTGACTCAAATTACTGCAATCACGTCACAATCAATACTTCTAAAACCTGAGTTCCTACTTTTAAATCTTTGGGACCTGGTGGATCGAGTTGACGCACATGAAAATCTTATCTCCCTCCTTCTTAATTTATTTTTTTCATTTTTATCCCGCCCTCTGCACAAACGGGCTTAGGGCGGCTAACAAACAAGGGCACCATGTGCCAAGTATAAAACATTAAAACACATAAAAACAACCATTTTATCAAAGTTGAAGTGCTCACTGATGTTAATATTAATCATTTAGTCAAATAAATTAAATCAAGATGGTGATCAGTAGATGTTCCTCAAGCCCAAATCGGCAGTACCACTCCATCAGAATACTGTAACTCAATCTTATAGAGGGCCATTGATCTTAAATGGGCCATCCCAATGCCCCATGTTCCCATGAGGCAGTTGGTGGTGGTGGTGGCGGCGGCAGCTCCTAATTAAAAGCCTGGCGGAAGAGCTCCATCTTTCAGGCCCTGCGGAATTGTGAAAGGTCCCGCAGGCCCCTGATCTCCTCTGGGAGCTTATTCCACCAGGTAGGAGCCGCCACTGAAAAGGTCCTGGCCCTGGTTGCCACAAGCCTGGCCTCCCTGGGGCCTGGAATCACCAGTCGATGTTGAGCCCTCGACCGAAGTGCTCTCTGGGGTATCAGTGGGGAAAGGCGGTCCCTCAGGTATGTCGGACCCTGGCCATATAGGGCTTTAAAGGTAAGTACCAGCACTTTCAAGCGAACTCAGAAAGCGATAGGCAGCCAGTGCAGGGCTTTTAGCACAGGTCGGATGTGCTCCCATCTAAGGAGACCCATCAGAAGCCTGGTCGCAGCATTCTGCACTAGCTGCAGCTTCCGAATTTGCGACAAAGGCAGCCCCATGTACAGAGCATTGCAGTAGCCTAATCTTGAGGTGACTGTCGCTTGGATCACTGTAGCCAGGTCGACACGGTCGAGATAGGGGACCAACTGCCGAATCAGCCGAAGATGGTAAAAGGCCGACCTGCCAGTGGCTGCCACCTGAGGCTCCATAGTTAAGGAGGGATCCAGGAGCACACCCAAGCTCCACACCTCCGACGCAGGCACCTGGCTGCGGCACGACTTGCACTGGCTTCCATCTGCAAATCTACCTCTCCACCAACCTTGACGATGTGGTGTGATAAGTTATGGGACTAATTCTTTATGTATAAGATTTCTACCATTGTTGATTACTCTACGACAATGTTGTATCACCTGGCTTCCAACCTTAACTTATATGTCAGATCTTCTTCACTCTAACTGAAATTACCATTCCTGGATTTACTTCTGATATACTTATTGAATGATCTCTCCATTGGGATTCCCCTTGTTGATCAGAGCTTCCACTATTCATCCTATTGTGTTTGGTGGTTTCCCCACTCTTGGAAGCATAATTCATTACTTAGTTCATTACATCCATATTTACTTATTTTTTATCTGTATGATGTGCCTGTTTTGCTTCTAATACGTCGATATTTTGCCAACCTTTATGTCTCTACCACCATCCACATAAGCATTTAACTGCCCCCCCCTATTGCTTACGGATTCACTGGCTTTATATACAAATACGTATAGATAGATATATATATAGAGAGAGATATGATGACCATGGTTGTGTCATGACCTTATTATTAATAAACTTTATTTTTAAAAAAGTTACAGCAACATTGAGAGGAGCTCAGTCGTTCAGAGGAAAGAGGCACAAATAGATGTTCTATTTGAATATTCATTTTATACTGCCACAATTTATTTAGTTTGCAATTAAAGCACAACTTCCTAGCACTTAAGTATCCATGGCCTAAAGATATCTCAAAACCTTACACACATCTTATCATGAGCTTTGCACATTGTAGAACATGGGACTTTATCAATTAGAGAACAGCCCGTTACAGGGGAAAAAACAACAACCTTGCATATGTGGTCATCCAGAAGTTAAACATTTTTTGTTCAAACTTTGAACTCAGTGAAGGACAGATGCTACTGGCACTAGAAATTATTTCGATTTTCTCCTCCCAAGTTTTAAAAAATAATTCACCTAATACCTATTTAAACAGAAAGGTTTTACACTGGCTTCTAAAAACAACTAACAATGGGCTTTGGTGCCACTACTGAGAAGGCCCGGCCTGTGCTTCTAACCTGTCTAGTAGAAGGCAACTGGAATTTTATTGGTTTCATGGGCAGAAGAAAGGGGTGCCTGAGATTCTGGGTACCAGCTGTTTGCAAGAGAACTCACAACCTACATCCTGAATTGTGTCCAGATCTTAGGCAATCAGTACAGCTAACACAAACTTGAATATATGTTCTTGCATCTAGTGAAAAGAAAAAAAAACACAGCTGCATTTCTGCATTTTCAACTCCCAAATGCTACTGAGAAGCAGATGGCTAGAGAGCTATCAGAACTGAACTCACCATAGAATGGGCTTATATGGATAAAACCTGGTCCTAATTTCTGCAATGCCTTCAGTAAACAGTAACTGCCTCTCATCACAGGGTGGCTGCTATTCAGAGAAAATTCTGTTTTGTCTATGTCATAATCTGGTCAACAGTTTTCAGGGTCACCACTTCCGCCATTTTGGTTTGCAGCAGCAGTTAATGTGTATTCTGGCATCATTGGGGACTCCAACTATCACTCTATTATTATTTTATTTGTTCAATTTATACCCCGCCCTCCCTGCCGGAGTAGGCTCAGGGTGGCTTACGTAAACATATAAATAATAATTAGAAAATCATAAAACCTTCTGAAACCATACAAAATTATATGATAAAAGTGCTAGCAAGATCTATAGTTAGTATTGCTTAAATATGACGGTGACAGTCATATTGATATATCCGCTGGTCTGTCTTGGTCAGCTCATTGGTCTTTCCATACATATGCGGCAGGCACAGACTGTAGATAGTGAAACCAGGTAACTATATTGTCAGGGTTCTATTTCTTCCAGTTGTTGTTGGAGGCGGCTCCTTAATTGAAGGACTCATGGAAGAGCTCCATCTTGCAGGCCCTGCAGAACTGTAAGAGGTCCTGACAATCATCTCTTTTTTCTCCACAGGCGTTTCACTGAGTGATCAATTTAGACCTCTTTGACTAAAATGGAAAATGAAAGCAGATAAAAGGCTATAGGTTGAATCTAAGGAGAGACCGTAAATTTCTGTCAAATAAATTATTCGTTTACCCTTGCCTATGATCTGACTAATTTGCATCTTTCTTTCAGAGACAAGATGAACACTGGATCCCCGTCCTCATGGTGGTGATGGCAACAGCCAGGGCAGCTTGTTTAGCCAGCTTCATACCCTGAGGATAGCCTCCATCTAGTTTGGCTTTGTGTTACTGGCTTTGCATTATGTCATTCTAGGTTACCCATTTTTGTACTAAACTTCCTAAAATATTCATTATAACATTTTGAATAGTTTTTTATGCTTGTTGGTCTAAAGAAAAATTCCATGGGTTAACTAGGGCTGTTGCTCAGCTTTGGTGGTTGTTTTTAATTAAAGGTTGTGCTCGAGAATGAGTGAGTCTGTCTAAATTGGCCGCATATGATAAGGCTCTGCATCAAACAATACAATTTTGACACTCACTGCTTTGGAAATATTAAATTCCACAATTTGGTATATGTTGCTTAACACTTAGGAACTGAAATCCATGCCAATCCTGGCTGGGGGGAACAAGATGCTTCTTTTTTGACTGGAAGTTATTGACATTTTATTGAGCAAGGACTCCCCACGGGAAGCCACTGAAATGATTCACCTTAAGAAAACAATCCTAAAAAGAACTACTCAGAATCCTACTCTGGTCTATTCAAAGGACAGTGGATTCCACTGCAAGAACCCTAATCTGGGTGTAGGCACTACATCAGTTTTGGGGGAAGGGGTTGATGCAAGGGCTATTAAAAGGAAAACTGCAATTTTGTCCCTGTTTTCCTACCACATCCCACACCCCCCAACTTCTTCTCAAGTTTGAGGACATTTCAAAACCGTTTGGGGATTTGACGAGATGAGTTGTTTAAAAGGATGCTCAGAAGAAAACTAGTCTATGCCTCTGGGCCAGAGCCCGTCTTCACAAAGCCACTGCCTCCAAAGTGACAATCTCAGCAGTAATGCAAAGATCTGAAAAGTCTTCCTGAGACCTAGAAGCGTCCTGCAGAGTTTCACACCACGCGTCAATACCAGCTTTCAGGAGAGAGTATAAATCCTCTGGGACGCTGAAAGAGTAAAGCCGAACTCTGAGGTCCTGGCTTATCCGGCGGCAGGTGGCGTGGACAGTGAAGACCCTCAGCGGGGTCAGAGCCAGGCAGTTGCCAAGGCCCTCCTCGCGAGCAGGGAAGCTGTAGGCTGCCGGGTAGCCCAGCAGCACGCCGAAGAGGGTGCACAGGTTCCAGTCCGCAGAGAAGAGGGCGCTGGAGGAGGAGGAGGAGGAGGAGGAGAGGGCCCGGGGGGACGGGTCTCCTCCTCCTCCCGCCGCCAAGGCTTTCAGGTGGCTCAGGATCTCGGAGAGGTGTCCTCGGATGGCCTCCACGTCGGGCGCGGAGCAGAGGGCGGGGCTCGTCCTGGCGGCGGAGACGTCCACGAAGGAGACCACCGTGTCCTCGGCCAGCAGGAGCGCCTCCAGCCGCCGCACCGCCACGTCCACGTTGACGACCAGGACGTGGTCGGCGAGGCTCAGGACGTGCAGGCGGCCGCCTCCTCCTCCGAGGGCGCCGCCGCCGAGGGCCTGGAGCTGCCGGAGGTAGCGGAGGACCTGGGCAGGCCCGGCCGGGCTGTAGTCGTAGAGGAAGGCGGGCTTCAGGCCGGCGGCCACGGCCCCCACCTCCCCGGCCAGCTGCAAGCAGGACGGCCGCGACAGGCCTCTCTCCTTCGTCTTCTTCCTCCCCCCCGCGCGCAGGTGGCGCTGGGCGGCCGCCAGGAGCAGCCCGGGAGGAGGGGGGGGC